CTCGCCACACTCACAACCTCGTTCCGCAACACACAGATGCCACTAGCACCCAAGGACCACCCTGCGCCTTACCCAGCTTACAGCAGCGCAGCTCGACTATGGCAGCGTGCTCCTTCCCTGCTCGCCTGTGAGAGTGTAGGCGCCAACCAGCAAATAGCGCAGCAGCGCTTGCGCAGCATGCAGCCAGCACCCGAATGCCGAATGCGGAGGCAGGCCCTTTGCTATATCGAAGTGGCCTGCCTGCGTCCAGTCCCTGGAAGCTTCCAGTAGGCCCAGGTAGCCTGTGGCCCAGCACGATGAGAACAGGCCTTGGGCCTGAGGTGGTTGCATGTGCCCAACTGCCTTTGGCCTGTGTTTCACCCAGTACTCGTATCCAGCCCAGGGCCAACTTCACATACATTCACACAGGAGGCCCAGGGACTGGATTCACTCAACCAACTGGCGCTGCGCAACTGCCTGAATTTCCCTGAGTTGCCTGGTGGCCAGATTAAGACCTTGAGTGCCTCGTCGAGCCTGCCTTCATTTAGGGCGGCCGACGGGCTGCAAAAACAGGGCCTTATGGGGCTCATAGAGGCAGTGGCCTCGCATTCCCTCCTCCTTAGCTTCAACAGTCCTCTGAGAAGCTCAGTCTTCAATCATGGGGCGCTTTGCAGAGATTTCTCGTAATGGGCTACAAATTGAGGAGCGGTCTACATGAGTTCTTCCCTCGTGAACCAACGGTCCTCCTTGGGATCAGTATGATTTCTGAACCGAACGCAATACTGCAGCTTCGGTTTCGGAGGACGTCCCCTTCCTGCAGGTCTCTGAGCTGGCAGCTCCCTGTGATCCACGATGTCATCGATGTCCACTTCTCCCTCCATGGTTGGGGGCAGCATTGAGCGACGAGAAGGAAACTCATTTCTTTCCTTGAAAGGTGCAAGCTTGGAGGCGTGAAAGACAGGGTGAGTTCGAAGATGACCAGGGATCCGGATAACATAGGATGGCCCATCCGGATCTGTCCCAACGATGTCTAAGACTTCCCAAGGTCCAAAGCATTGTGGCATGAGCTTGCGCGAGATCCCGTGCTCCTGTCCCAGTTCTGAGGACTTAACCCAGACTCTGTCCCCAACCTGAAATGAAGACTCACGGCGGTGTTTGTTCGCAAATTCTATCATAGCCGCCTGTGCCTTTTGCATCTGTTCTACAACCTGCTGCATCTTCTGTTCATAGCGGTAAGCAAACTCTAGCATACCTGGAGCAGCAGTCAACTGATTTCAAGAAGGAGAAAATCTAAGGGTAGTCTAGGCTTGAAAGTCAGTAGCAAGCTGTTAGGGCTCACCCTGGTGGCACAGTGCACCGCGTTGTTATACAGATTGGCGATGAGTGCAAGCTTCTCATCCCAGTCCACCTGGTTGGGCTTGATGTAATGCCTCAACAGGTGTTGTACAGCGCGGTTCAGTTGCTCGGCCTGGCCGTTGGCCTTTGGGTGATTCCCAAAGGTCATTTGCAACTGGGTTCCCTGCTCTGCAGCAGCGGCCTTCCACAACTCGCTGGTAAACCGGACATCCTTGTCACTGACAATAGACTTCGGTAAACCAAAGTCTCTAACCCAGTTCTCTTTGAACATTCGGATCACGTACTCCCTCTTTATTGTTTCCGGCATTGCTACTAACCTAGCATACTTACTAAACCTATCCACCATGACGAAGATGTGACGCATTCCACTCTTGCTGGTGATCAGAGTATCCATGAAATCCATGGACAAACTCTCACCAGGCCGTTCCTGAATCGGAAGGGGCTTCAAAAGCCCAAGAGGACCCTGAGTACGTGGCTTGTCCCTTTGACATACTTGACAAGTCTCCACGTATAGCTGAGCATCTCGCATCATCGTGGGCCACCAGAACCGCTGCAGCAGATTGGCTGCGGTCTTCTTATACCCAAAATGGTTGGTGGCATCATCGGACTCAACTAAAAACAAACTACGCAAAGACTCGCTATTTGGGACACACAATCGTTTATTCCCTTCCTTCTCAAGGAACAACAAGCCATTGACCAACTCAAACTCGGCAGAAGTCTTCTTGTCCTTCGCCTCAAGTCTGCGTATGATCTCAGACATGAACTGGTCCTCGCGATAGGCTTCCACCAAAGACTGAGTAACAATGTCCGTCAGATCGAACTCAGTAATCAGCGCACCTGAGAAATCAGGTCTACGCGACAAGGCATCAGCAACCTTGTTGTACTCCCCTTTCAGATACTGAGGGTCAAAGTCATATTGCTCAATGACTTCGATCCAACGCTTGAGGGCGTCAGAGAGTACCGACTGAGTTCTCATCCATCTCAGGTTCTGATGATCAATCCTGAGGATGAAGAACCTCCCAAGGAGATAGTGTCTCCAATGGGTCAGAGCATTGTAAACCGCATAAGAGTTCCTTCTCATAGGTGGACTTAGCCAACTTTTGAGACAGCATTTTCTTGGACATGTACTCCACAGGCCTCAACTTTGGTCCCTCCTGCTGCGCGAGCACGGCGCTAATGCCATATTGGCTGGCATCCGTGGTGACTATAAACGGCTTATCAGGATCAGGAAGTTTCAAGACCTCGTAGTGCGTCAACGCATGCTTCAGATGTCTGAAAGCAGCATCGCACTCATCTGTCCACTCCCATGGGGTGTCAACGCGGGTCAGATCAGTCAAAGGAGCGGCCACTATGCTATAGTTCTTAACAAAAGTCCTATAGTAGCCTGTCATTCCTAAGAAAGATCTCATCTCAGTCACAGACTGAGGACGTGCCCAATCACGAATGCTGGCCACCTTCGCGTCATCGGGCTTTAACCCTTCCGCGGATATCTCATGGCCCAAGTACAAGACACGGGTGCGGCCAAACTCGCACTTCTCACCGTTGATCTTGAACTTGTGCCGTCGCAGGAGGCTGAGGACTTTGTCCAAATGTGCAACATGCTCCTCGACTGTCTTACTAAAAATAAGTATGTCATCAAGGTACACGATGACAAACTTATCCAAGTAGTCATGGAATATCCGATTCATAGAGTGCTGAAAGGTGCCAGGAGCATTGCAAAGCCCGAAAGGCATCACCACAAACTCGTACAGACCGTACCTGATTTGAAAAGCGGTTTTGTGTTGATCCTCGGGCTGGATTGCAATCTGATGGTACCCGGACTTCAGATCTATCTTACTGAAGTACCGACACCCTTGCACTCTATGTAACAGATCATCGATGCGCGGTAGGGGCTGTCTATTCTTTACAGTGATGGCATTGAGGCCCCTATAGTCAATGCACATCCTCAGTGTGCCCTACTTCTTCTTAGGTACGAATAGTACTGGAGGTCCATAAGGAGAGACACTCGGCCGGATCCAACCCTTCTCTACGAGTTCCTTGAGTAGTCGGCGAAGCTCATCAAGCTCGCCTGGAGACATCTGATAGATCCTACCCTTCGGGATGCTAGACCCTGGGATAATCTCTATCGCGTGGACGACCTCCCTCTCTACAACCCCTGTTGGCTCTCCAAATAGATCAGGGTACTTGGCAACTACTCCCTCTATCTCCGGCGGCATTTTCACCGGCTCGCCTGCAGCAGAGACATAAACTAGGCACATACCCTCCTCCTGATTTTGCTTATAATAATTGTAAAACGCGGCCGCACACATGCACCCGTAGGACTCAATCAGACTACCAGCTTTGAACTTATGTAATCTGGCGGTCCCTCTGCCTGGCAAAGTGTGTTTGACCACTTTTCGGTCCCAGTCAAACAAGGGCTGAGCCATAGAGAGGTAGTACATTCCTAGTAACATATACATTGGGAGCTCGTTACTCACTAGGAACCAGACGCAATGTCTCAATTCCCCTCCTGCTTACGGGAAACAACATTCTACATCCTAGAGGTAGTCGTTGACTACCATGCGCTGTTTGTTGGCACAGGTCGACTCCATAGGTCGACTCAGGCGCTGCACTCGCCCCTGTAGACGCAGCCTCCCAACGCACGCGCGACTAATAAAGTTCCTAGTCGAGCAAGTGTCATAATAGGCCCCGGCCTTGCGGTCGGCAATGACAACCTCGCTGATGAACATCTCACCCTTAGGGGCTTTGACTAGGGCCGTCCAAGAAGCTAGCGGGTCTGATCTAGACCACTCCACCTCTAGCTCCTCGAAGGACTCGAACACATTCATCGAACAGAGGCAAGATGGGTCTGAACTTGTTTGCAGGACGACACTGGAGTCAGTAGTTTGGGCCATCTCTCGAGATGGTGAGGGTGTCTCCACCACCTCGACCCTAGCAGGAATATCTACTATTCCTACTGGCCCGACGTGTTTCCCGGACCACTGCAAGAAGAACTAGCCACGTTGCTACCAACGGGATGGGAGGATCCCAGCAACTGCCCCATCGTAGGCGGGATCTTATCGGCCACCTTCTTATTGCGGCACTTGAATTGGTTATGGCCATATTGGCCACAACGAATACAAGCTTGTCGGATGTACCGGTCTCTCCACACGTCCTCAGTAAGACCCGCTTTCTCGCATGGAGGAGCATTTGGGTCTACTGGACTCCTTGACCGGGAACCTCCACGGCGTCTACCGGTCGCCTTACCTTTTTGAGCAACGCCAACGACTACTCCACCCTCTGAAGCTTCAACGCTGCCCGCCTATGAACCTACTCCTTCCTGGAAGTGTTCGTCTACTTCGATAGTAGAACCATCGTTATCGACAAACATTAAGCGACCCTTCGCCTTCCAGTTGGGAGGCAGTGTCTTCTTCCTCCCATCCGTAGTGGGTGCCTGTCTATGCCCTATTTTCGCCTCAAGGTCTAGGGCCATCTTGCTGAACGAAGGGAAGTTGTGCATATTGATGTTGGCCTGACTTGCCAACTGATTCTTGAGAGGCAAAGAAAAGCATCTCAGGTACGAGGTAAGCAAAACCTAGGGGTCATAGCGCACCCCAGGAACACAGATCAGACGCTCAACAGCGTCGGTGGCTTCCCTTACTGACTTGAATTGCCGTGTGTGCAGTGTCAAGATCGCATCAGTGGCCCTTTGGGCCTCCTGAGGATCGTGCCACCTTTCCTCCACCATCTTCAGGAAGTCCTCCAATTTCTGGGTCACCCCTCTTGTCCCCTGTGAAGGGTTTCGGAGCGGCGATGGCCGTCTTTGGAACCCACTGTGTTTGTCCCGATCCCTGCATCACGGCGGGCTGTGGACCCTGTGACAAAGGTTGTTGTGCTAGTTGTTGGGGTGTGTGCCCTGCGGCTGCACAGGCTGCGAGACATCAGGCTGCGTGGTGACCGCAACCTGCAACGGAGTTTGGGTGTACACTATCTGTACAGGAACCTGCAAACTAGTTCCTGCTGATACCCCTCCTGACAGCGGCATGCCCAGGGAAACGATCGCAACCGATGATGGGGCTACATATGGGGATACCCTAGTCACCGGTGGGACATACGGAGGAGGATGTACAACGGGCCAGGCACCAGGCCCGGACATTGGCCATGTTGCTTGCGCAAGACCAGCCAACAGGGCCAGACTCTGCTGGATGTCCTGAAGAATGGTCGTCTGATGGTCCTGCATCTCAACTACATTTAGCAGGACAGACCGTATGATCCTCGCATCATCGGTCATGAGCGCCATGTCCATCTCCTCTAACTCACTAACGTCCGCTTGTCTACGTTGCATCCTGGCTCTTCTTCTAATCATTCTATCTTTCTCCGCTTTTACATCTCCTAATGCCTTTTGTAGTTGTGCCTCTTTTAGAGCTGCCTCCTGTATGGCGATCTCATCGGGGGTCAACACCAATGGCTGGCTCGCCATTACGCCAGTGGACTGACTCTGGGTCTGCGCAACCGTTGACCCAACAAACCCTGAACTACCGGCCTGAGTAGACTACTGCGCTTCGGTGGCCAGGGCTTATGAAGCTGCGGTTTCACTCACAAGTGCCCTGCTAACCTCTGCTGGTCTAGCCCTCCTCTACTGCTGCTGCCTCTCCCTAAGTTGGCGGAATAGATGTCTGTCGCCCTCTGGTCCTAATGCCAAGTGGGCTACTGGGCGCCTTGCCCAGCGCAAGATCCAGTCGTCCGGTTGCTGTTTGTCCCTATCGCTCATAAGCTACAATCCTGTACACAATCTGCACTAATGCACTCTAGGTGCCTACCGCAACGTAGTGCACAGACCAAACTGGTGGCTATTTCAGAGACTTTACATTCGGGTCAACAGGTAAGTCAGGTTCCTACAAATAAAACTATTTTTAGTTTGACTAGTCCGCAAACAGAAGCATCATGAACAAGAAACAGTCCTAACTAATGTTGTATGTCAGATGTCAATGGTTGTACACCTAACTAATCAAAACATAAAAATAGAATCATTTGTGTGGATAGAACAGCATGGAATTTTCTCGAACTTATCACCTGGAATCAACCCCTCCCTTAGTTCCCCTGAGTATCTCTTGACGTCAGCGTCCCTGAGCAATCCGGAGGCGTTGCGTGTCTAAAGGTGTGTGTCCCGAGTATCTGCTGAGTTGGCCAGCCCTGCACTGGATTATCCTCGCGTGCAGCGAGCCTTACAACCATTGGCTGATCCAGAGGCGATTTAACGTTCGCCCCCAAGTGACTCCAGGAATTCTTTACGTCGCAGTCAGACGACGATCACAGCCAATGGTTCCCCTTCCGGTGCTTATTTAAAGACGCCCGGGCTCGTTTCCCTCAAGGGCTGGCCTGCCCAACAATACCATCTAACAGCGCAGCAAGCCAAACAAAGGACAATCAGCAAAGCATGCGTGCTCTACTCCCTGTGGGTTGGCATGGTGACCATGACCCAGTGCTTCGTCCAGGGCCCTTCAGAAAGCTCCGCACATCTTCTCCCAGATGCTCCACGTGAACATTGCCGACTCTCAAGGTTGAGCGCACTCGACACCTCACAATGAGAGGACTCTCAAGAAGGAACACACAACCTCACGGTAAGAAGTGTCGGAGAGGGTAGATAAGGTTAAGAGAAACGTACCTCAAATAGCTGCCCCCAACCACAGAGATAATCTCACCAGATGACCAGATGGCGATTGTGATGACCAGTCACTGCATCGGCACAACCAGCATTAACTCGTCGTTCCACCTCAGCATCAATCGCACATTAGATAGTTCTCATCACACTGTCCAGACCACATTACACTTTCGTACCCTTCATGGCGATCCCCTCACCTCCTGGGTCGCCACTCACTCACCTCCGCCCTCCTCACTACACACCACTTACGACCAAACTCGCCAAGCAGACCGCATGTATGTACCGCATAAGGCAGAAGACAAGCGCCGGATGAGCGCAAACGTACCACAGCTCCGATAGCAAATTGCAAGGAAGATGAGCAATAGTGAACTTCAGCAATCAAACAGCATCATACATATGAGTCCAGATAGTCGTGACCTCGAACCAATAGCAGAATTGCATCACGAGATTCACCAAATAAGAACACACCAAGAGTTCATAATTGACAATGCTGAAATAGTCCCATCAATGCCATCATCATCAACGAAGAACCAGAGTTGATATCCTATCTGGCGCTCAGCGCCCAGACTACATGTGGCAGATCCTATGTAGCCTACACTACGATGCCGAAAGATGACGTCAACAACTTTCCCAAAGTACGAGCATACAGCGACCAGCGTCGCACGCTTCCAGCACCCGGTATGTCTCTCGCCACACTCACAACCTCGTTCCGCAACACACAGATGCCACTAGCACCCAAGGACCACCCTGCGCCTTACCCAGCTTACAGCAGCGCAGCTCGGCTATGGCTGCGTGCTCCTTCCCTGCTTGCCCGTGAGAGCGTAGGCGCCAGCCAACAAATACCGCAGCATGCAGCCAACACCCGAATGCCGAATGCGGAGGCAGGCCCTTTGGTAGATCGAAGTGGCCTGCCTGCGTCCAGTCCCAGGAAGCTTCCAGTAGGCCCCGGTAGCCTGTGGCCCAGCACGATGAGAACAGGCCTTGGGCCTGAGGTGGTTGCATGTGCCCAACTGCCTTTGGCCTKTGTTTGGCCCAGTACYCGTATCCAGCCCAGGGCCTGCTTCACATACATTCACACAGGAGGCCCAGGGCCTGGATTCACTCAACCAACTGGCGC